TCCTATGTCACTGCTGCTTAAACTGTGGATCCTAACCCTAAACAGGGTCCTGACCCTTAGCTCAATGTTGGAGTAGTCAAAATTTTGTCAAGAAAAAAGGTTTCTGTACACCATCTAGACATTTACTCAAATCTGTTATCAACGACCTGCAGTGTCTACAGTGGACTCTGCAGAAAATGCTTCAGCTGTACCTCATAAAAAGGAAAATCAGCCTCCTTAGCAAGCTTTGCAAAAACTTATTTATTATCAGTAAATGTTTTGTGTGTGTGTGTATGTATGCATATATATATATATATAGAGAGAGAGAGAGAGACAGAGACAGAGACAGACAGACAGACAGACAGAGACAGACAGAGACAGAGAGAGAAGGAGAGAGAATGAGTATATACTCGAGTATAAGCCTAGTTTTTCAGCCCCCCTTTTAGGTTGAAAATGCTCCCTTCAGCATATACTCAAGTTGAGGTTATTTATTATTTTACTCTGTTATTTATATTATTTTTATTACATTTATTATTTTGCTCTTCTACTTCTTACATTTCCATTATTTTACTCTATTATTTTTTGTTACATTTATTATTTTACTCTATTATTATTGGAAGGATACGTAAGCACATTTACACTGAAGAAGATTAGAATAATGGTTTAATCAGAGTTGGACAGTCTTATCTTAAATTGCAGTTTTATGTAAATATTCAAAAACATTTAACCTACAGGTGCCTCAATTAATGTAATATTATTGGTATCTATTTTTATTTTGAAATTTACCTGTAGCTGCTGCATTTCTCACCTTCAGCTTATTCTAATGTCAATATGTTTTTCCAGTTTTTTGTGATAAAATTAGGTACTCCGGCTTATATTCAAGGCAGCTTATACTTGAGTATATATGCTATATATAGCCAGGATCATATATAAGTTTCTCAGGAGGAAAGGGATAATAATTAAAAAATTCTACGGCAGAAATGGGCCAGAGGTGGAAAAGGTTTAAGAAGCCCTGTCCTATGTCATCCTATGAACTGTCGTTTGATGACAGTAGAGCTGACAGAGAATTCTGAGTATCTCACAAGACTACAAATCCCAGAATTCTATAAGATGAAGATACGTCATAATCAAACTTGCAAGGTCTGAAATGGGCCTTATTTAGTCTGTTCCTGTTCACATAACAGCCTCTCTTATTGTCTGTTCCCTCAAGAGACCTAAGTACGCCTAGAATTAAAGTTGTGCTTACAAAGCTCCTGTGATCAGAACCCTATTCTTATCAGAGTTTTGGCTCATGTGAGCTTTGTAACCACACTTGCGCCACAGCATGCTTCAATGTACAAATTCATGTCCCCATCCTCAGTTTTAAGCCCCATGCAAACACATGAACACACTTAAGAAAAGAGATTAAGTATTGATTTTCACCCATTATTTGCTTCTCTTTTTAAAAAATGGTGAAATAGCACTATTTTGCAATATAAAAACCGAATAACAATCAATAATTAAAGCCTCCCTGTGTGGAGAAGAAGAACCAACAAATTAAGGACCAATTAAAGAGCAGTAATCCTGCTGAGGAAGCAATCAGAGACAGAAGATGCAAAGAGGAAGCTTCTAATTAAAGGCAATAGCACTTTGCCAGTCCACACTAGACAGGTTGGCACTGCAACTGCATTTTAAGAGGGAGAAATGCCACAAATTGGTTATGGGGGTGGGTGGTGGGTAGAATGGGAGGTCAGAAAAAATCACCAGAAAGTTATAGGTTTGAAACATGTTATTCAGACTCTTCAATGAAATGATGAGAATAATGATAGCCATTCTAGATTGTGCTGCTATCTTGGAAGCAACTGAGGAGCAAATGCTGGTTGAACTAAAGACAAGAACTTATCTCAAGATAAGTTCTTGCCTCTACTGAAGGCTAACACCACTGTTCCCCACACCCCTCACAAATATACTTTTTCACTGCTATCTCATCCAGAGTTTTATCATTTTATGTTGTGCATTTGGCCCGCCCGCTGTGTTTGATTCTTCGTTATGTTATTTTAGACTGTTTATTTTACTTGAATGTTTTATTTATTCTATTGTGCTTTTATTTCTTGTTGTTCTGTATTTCATTTTGCTGTAATGTATTGCCGGGCTTGGCCTCATGAAAGCCACTCCAAGTCCCCTTTGGGGAGATGGTGGTGGGGTATAAATAAAGATGATGATGATTATTTAGTACAACCCTTGTATCCGCGGTGATATGTTCCAAGGTTTTGTGTGGATACATGAAACTGTGTCTAATAGCAATTTCATATATCTGTATAAAGGACTTCCAGCCCAGGAATATAATGGAATTGTGCTGGAGGACCTTGAAAATGTTTAGAGAGGACATATTTTGTCGAATGAAACTGCAGGTACAGGTCCCGCAGATATGGGGGTCAAACTGTATCCGAACAAGAGCTTTTAGTGTTCCCTAAACTGTTGTTTCATGTGAAATCCTTGATGATCTAGTTAAAGTACACACACATACCTCTTCCCCTCACTCCAGACAGCAAAGTTCCTTAATAGATTTCAGTTCTTTGCAATTTAAAAGAGAAGGGAAGAGTTGCTAAACTCGAGCTGCTAAACAATTAAAATCTACTTCATGCGGTTAAGGAAGTGTTTGAGAGAAAAAAGAAATGAAGATGATTACAATAATTTGCTCATATAGTGTCCCTTCTTTCATTTAAGGTGATTTACATGGATATAATAACATAAAATAACAATAAAAGGATAATAGAACCCATTAAAATCATTTTTAAAAGTGATAGTGTGGGGAAGAAGTGTGGAAAAGGAACCTCGAGCTTATTCAGGTGAATTCATCAGCACAGTGTTTATTTCAAGAAGGATCTGACTTGAAAAACTACTTGCTGTGCTGATGTTTGGCCTCGAAAAAAGGAATCATACAAAGCGAATCTGTTCTGAGAATATGAAAAATACCACCTCGGGGTATATTTCCTTAGTACAGAATAAACTGCACTCCATTCATACATCTCAGGGAGGATACAAATGGAGGCTTGCCTCTGATAGAAGGTAGATGGGGAAAGGTGACCTAAAGACAGCGAAAGTATAGCCCAGAGAAGGATTAGCCGAGAGGTAGGCAAAATCTGTAACAGAGATAGGACATATTAGTATGCAAAGGGATCTTAGAGAACAATGTCAGTAGCATAAGCCTACATAGAATAAGGGCCTTATCACACTACACTGTTATAGTGCTATTATTCCACATTGCCTGCCAAGGCAAGATCATAGGGAAACCCAATATTTGCAGTTTAGGGAGGAGCATTTTGAATTCTCAGCTAGAGAGACCCTAGCCCTCATTAAACTACAAACCCTATAATTCCCCAGAACATTGTCACAACAGTTAAAGCGGAACAATAGAGCTATAACAGTGTAGAGTGAACAAGAGGGCCTCATCCTAAAGGCCAGGGGAAGTGACCCACTTCGCCTGGCAACTTTTACAGCTGTGTCTGTTTGGTTTTGAGAGAGCATCTCGCAGTGAACCCACAGAATAATCCACTGATCCATATAAGAATTAACTTATGACTCTAGCACCAGAATCAGGGAGGATCTGGAGGGGGAAAGGGGCAAAGTAAGAGACAGGGGCTCAAGATTTGGAACTTCGGAGGTACCAGCCTGAAGAGTGAATCAGTCACAACCATGTGCTCATAGAGAGTACCTTTGGATAGCTTTTGTCAGGTTTGAGCGATAGTACCTAGTAAAGGTAAAGGTTTCCCCTTGACATTAAGTCTAGTCATGTCCAGGGGTGGTGCTCATCTTCATTTCTGAGCTGAAGAGCCAGCATTGTTCATAGACACCTCCTAGGTCATATGACCATAGTACCTATTTTGATATAAATTAAGTCCAGTAATACAATGTCTTTGTAAAGTCTTGTCCAGACTTCCCCAAAATCTTAATATAGAAATGACAATTATCTTTTCGGTTCCCATGAAGATGTTAGACATGACCTTTGTGAATCAGGTTTTTTTGTGTGCAGCTCTTTCCTGTGCTGCAAGGAAAAGACAACACCCAGAATTGCAGGAAGCTCAATGCAGCTCCACCTAAGTGCCTCTTTCCTGGACCAGGCCCACAAGTTTTAGCATGGAGAGAAGCAGGTGGACTGGTGAAGTGAGAGAGGGAGGCTGGTGGATAGGTGTGTCCTGGGACAGTCCAGGAAACAGGCTTTCCATTTGCTCTTCCATGGCTTGAAATCTGAAGGAAAAGATGAGGAAAATGAGGGCTCCCTTCCTAAATACTATGGAAGGGCAAGTTCCCTGTAGGTGATGAAAGGGAGGGCCAGCTTTCCTGGCAACAAATCTTCCTTGTTGTCTTATCTTTTTAGAAGAGGTGGTTGTGTCTCTCCTTCTGTCCTTTATTGCTTTTGCAGTACTTCTCCATCCGATTCCTTCTTTCTTTGACCTTTCAGTTTTCTATTCTTGAACTTTTCTTGATTTGCTTTTCTGGCTTCATGGTTGCTCTTTCCTCTTTACTGCCTTCTGTTTGCTTGAATTCTATAGGGTAGATTCTTTCTAAAAGTCTTTTCAGTAGATTGATATGCTAAGAAGATATCACTGATTGCTGAAAGTCTACGTCTCTCTTACATGTTTAAATTCTTGTTACTGTGATTGTTTGTTTTCAAGTCATTTTACAATTCATGACAACCCTAAGGTGAACCTATCACAGGGTTTTCTTGGTCAGATTTGTTGAGGGAGGGTGCCTTTTTTGATGCTGAAAAATTGTAACTTGCCCAAGGTCACCCAAGAGGTTTCCATGGCTGAGTGGGTATTTAAAGTCAAATCTTCAGAGCTGTAACCCAACACTCAAACCACTGTACACTTACTTTCACATTTTCAGTTCTACAACATGCTAATATCCTGTGCCAGAATTAAAGAAACACTCCATCTATTCAGGCTCTCAGTTTGGTGTGATGGTTAAGGGAAAGTATATATTTGGTCTCTAAAAACTATGCAAAACTATGACAGCTGCACTAAGTGCAGATCACTCACTTGTCTTCTCTGCATTTCCAGCATCGTCTTCATCAAAAGGAGGGGGAAAGTCAAGCTCATCTTCTATGGAATAAGAAAGAAAAAAAGCCTAATAAATATAGGAAGCCAGTCATGGCACAGTATAATTTTTGTTTTACTTGCAAAACAAATTTCAGAATTTCAAAAATAAAAGTCTAGGGCTACCAATCCTAAAACATTTATTTTAAAAATATTAGAGCATTTCAGGCATTAGTTGCCCTCTTCTATAGTTTTAAACTGATGTGATATTTCATTATAGAATGCTAGGGGGCAATATTATTTGGAATATTCAAAAATCAGTTGGAGAAGAAATACGGAAGAATGCTTCAATACATGATTACACCTCCAAGAATTTTTTACATATTGTATTGTTGTATTGTGTTTTGAGGCATTGGCCTATGTAAGCCGCATCGAATCCTTCGGGAGATGCTAGCGGGGTACAAATAAAGTAATAATAATAATAATAATAATAATAATAATAATGTATTCAAAGACTCAATTGCACCAACAAAAAAAGACTGAGTGGTTAAAATGTATTAATTAGCAGAAATGGACAAATTAACAATGTTGCACAAAGAAAAATCTTTGGTCAATTTTCAGAAGATTCTGATACATTTGTTACTTTGTGAAGACACATGTAACAATGGAGAAAAGGTACAACTTTGCCTTTCAATAGATAGTAGAATGTAAGTAGTAGAAGATAGCACATAAAGGCAGTTTAAATATACAAAATGTAGCCTCTGATCAAGGGAGGGAAAATAATGTTATCGCTTCCTACGGAATATGTAGCATAGTGTGTAGTAGTATGTAAACGTTGCAGTAGCCATTTAATATTATTTTACGTTTGCAAGATGTGTGCGTGCTAATAAAATATTTAGAAGGGAATTTATAAAAAATATTGTAGGTACAAATACACTTTTTACAGTTAGACATGTTCTGAAAAACCTTCTGATGGTTTCCAGAAAAGCTTATTCTTCTTAATCTGCCTACTGTTCCATGTCCACACTATCACCAACAAAATGTCCCTGTAGCTGTTTGTGGGATTTTTTGATAAGGTGAAGAGGGGCATATAAATTTAAAAAATGATCATTCATTCTTTTTCCCTTTTTTTCTTTAAGATATTAATTTATTTCCTCTTGGCCCACCAGGGTACCAAAGGTGATCTCAACACATGTCTCATAATAAATTAATAAACGTACACATGGGATAGGCCACCAAAGGAAGACTTGAGGATCAAAGCTGATGTAGCTTTTGACTTTGCAAGACTGAATGTGTGCAGGATAAGTCATGAAGCTGGATTTACTCTGTAGATGAAGACCCCACAGTGATTATTATTATGAGTGATTTGTATTCCCTCCTTATCTCCCTTGATCTCCAAGGCTCTGTCCCTATTGGCAATATAATTACTTATCTACTGTACCAGATTATTGTAAGGACTGACCGAGATAATGTATGTGAAGCACTCTAAACCATCTAAAGTTCTATATAGTTATTGCTCTTCCTGATGATGTATTTATTAAATGCCGAACATTTGCTAAGCTCTTTAAAGAGACAATCCCCTGATGACAGGCTTGCAATACAACAGAAATAATACAAAGGGGGGAAATTAGGTGTGAATGGGAAAGAGAAACAGGGAAACTCAGGCAAAAAGTCTGAGAGTTATATAACTGGCCTCATACTACTAAACTCCAAATGGATAGGGTTACTGATATGATTACTGCATACTGATAGGCACAGGGCTATTGGATAGGGTTATACTTATACTACCATTACATACACAACTCAAGGGATGAAATACCTGCTAATGCAGTGATATGACTGGTCTCAAATGCCTACTATTGATTGCTCAGCATACCTATGTAGTGAATCCCAGATTCCACATGACTTTAGATGGATTTGTTAAATAATCATTTCAACACCTCCTGGCCACATGACCCTGGAAACGTACAAGCAGTTTGGCCAATCCAATTTGAAAACCCCTTTACTCCCTGTGACATCCATACTACATATTTAGTAGCAGCCTTTTGTGTAGTGACATTACAAACAGCCTTACTCCTTTTTCTGTCTGGCAATAACAACCTATATACCAAGGCTTAACATATAGAAAAGGAAGGGAAAATGGGTTATCACCTGCTAGCAGAGGGAGGTAATATTTTAAAACATGCCCCATAAACCTATCAATTGTTATTTAAGGCAGTAATAGCAATCACTTGTTATAGCGTCGTAAATTTACATGGCACTTTATAAGCATAACACAAGCGGGAAAGCTTCCTTAGATTTGACAAGTATCTCCGGTCTCACTAAAGAGAAGACAATGAATGAAACACACTGTCAGGAGATGATGGAGGCCATGGGAAGAGGAAAAGGGAGGGAGATGCGGAAGAACCGGCTTAACAGAAGGAGAGAAAGGAATCCAGAAGGAAGCCGGGGTTAAGAGACTAGCAGAAAACACGGGCTGAATATAAACAAACATTGATGAAGTGGTAACATAACACAAGGTGTCTGTAAACACTTGGTGAACTGGTCATCTGCAAAAGTTGTAAAGAAGGATTTTTACCATCATTTCTCCTACACAGATTTCTGATTAAGTGCAAATACATAATTCATTTTTTCCCCAATCATAAGACACGGTGGTAATTTATTACTTGATAAACTGAGATTTACATTCAAAATAGAAAAATTGGATAGGGAAGAGAGGTGGCTGGACTTAGGTAGTAAATAATCACCATTATTGAAGGTGACTTCTTTGACACTAATATGAGGTAGCTAGTAGGTGTTCCTTATCAGGTCTCTGAAAATGGAAGCATGATTCCATTTGGCTGACACAGATACTTATAATCATGGAATCACACATTCTGGTGCCCATAATAACACAGGGTGGCAATGAATTCCAGAGATAAGTTTTCAGACTATCCACAGTCTCCTTATTATGCTTTTAAAGAAAAATATAATTCAACAGAATTACATACATAGATATAGAAAAAAATAAAGAACCTCCATGCTGGTGAGGAGAAATTTCTTCCTAAGATGCAACTACACTGCAATGGAATCATGGGAGTTGTAGTATTGTAAGGTCCCCGAGTTACAAACATCTGACTTATAAATGACTCATAGTTACAAATGGGGTTAAGACAACAGGAAGTGAGAGAAATCTAACCCTAAGAAGGGAAATTTCCCTTCTGAAAGAGTTATCATGGGGAAAAGGTAACTCAACTGAAGATTTAACACCAATCCTTGTTTCCGCAACAAGTCAAATTTTTCAAAATTCAATTATCACAGGAACAGAAAGTAAGGAGAAATCTTCTGAACAGATGCACAGATAGAAAACTAACATCACAGGGGTGTTAAACTTTCGCTATGCTATTCAGAGAGAGAGAGTATGTATGGCTGGAGTTACATTTTAAAAAGTTACAATTTGCTGTTGAGTACGCATGTCCAGTATGGAATACATCTTAGCACATTAAAACAGTGGATGTGGTTCTTAATGAGACATTCTGCATATTCACAGGATGTCTACGCCCAACACAGATGGAGAAATAATACTATTTAGCTGGTATTGCACCACTTGACACCCGACACAGGAAATAGCAGCCAGCAATGAAAAGACCAAGGCATGGACATCTCCAGCCCATCCTCTGTTCGGCTATCAGCAAGCATGCTAGTGACTTAAATCAAGAAACAGCTTCCTAAGATCTACAGAGATACTCGCGGGAACACCTCAGCAAGCGAGAGTCCAAAAGTGGCAGAACTTCAATCAGTGGCTGATGCCACATGAGAAACTCCCTCCTGGGCACACAGAAGACTGGGCAACTGGAAGGTGCTGAACAGGCTGTGCTCTGGCACTATGAGACGCAGAGCAAACCTTAAGAAATTGGGCTATTAAGGGGAGTCCGCAACACGCAAGAGTGGAGAAGAGCAAACCACAGACCACATACTACACTGCAGTCTGAGCCCTGCCACATGCACAATGGAGGACCTTCTTTCAGCAACACCAGAGAAACTTGAAGTGGCCAGCTTCTGGTCAAAGGAAATTAAGCATAATGGCAAGTTTTTAACTTTGTTTGTGCTTTTTTTGTATATTATAACTGTATACTCAATTTGCTTCTGACACAATAAATAAATAAATAAATAAATAAATACACTTAAAAATGTACCTCTTCTGACTTACATACAAATTCAACTTAAGAACAAACCTACAGAACCTATCTTGTTCATAACTTGGGGACTGCCTGTAATTAGAAGAGGAAAGAAACTCTTTCTCCACAAACTTTGGATTAGAGTGCTCTCCCATCCTATGTATTATTACTCCCTCCATCTATTACCAGGATTCAAATCATCTATTTCTTGATTTAAACACTTAAGGGTTAATTAAACTGGTTGCTATATAAAATATATAGTATGTAGCTGTGCTTCATTTTCTTTTTTACTTCCATAAGTAATTAAATGTGGTTTAAATCTTTCCTTCGTGCAATTCCCCCATAAAGTTTGTTGTCCTCATGTCAGTTCTTATCAACTAGTGAAAAAGATCACTTTTAGATAGTCTCTGCTATTCTTTGCACGCATGAGGCAAGCTCCTTTCCAACTTGGACCCCCAGTAATTAGCATTTGAACTAGGATTTCCTGCACCTCCCTTCTGCACCATGGATGGTAACTGAACTCAGCACTCTAAAGTATTAGGATGCAAAGAGCAGCATACCATGGAAACCAAACACACTGATACCCTTCACTTGACAAAATAATAAAGTTATTGCAGGAAAGATACTGTGATAAGGGAAAAAGAACTCTCTGTTCTACATAACTAAGGAAGGTATGTAAGGAACCATGGTAAGCACCAGGCTCTCTAGGAGAAAAGGACGCACACATCTACATAATGTAATTTGACCCTACTTTAATTTCCATGACTTTTTTTTTCCATGTCAGGAGCGACTTGAGAAACTGCAAATAACTTCTGGTGTGAGAGAATTGGATGTCTGCAAGGACGTTGCCCAGGAGAGACCCTGATGTTTGATGTTTTTTACCATCCTTGTGGGAGGCTTCTCTCATGT